CAACGATTCGATTTGATTCGAATCGATTCTGCATTCTTTAAGTGCCTTCACAGGATTATTTAAATGCTTCCCCTAAATTCTTTAAATGCTTAGTCAGGAGGCAAATTACACAGCACCCTTTATGATTACAGAACCATAGGTTAGAAAGAAAAAAAACACTTTTGTGTATTGTTAGATGCTAGTTTAATGATGCTATGGCTTGACGTGGCATATGTAGAAATTTATGTAAGCCAAGATTAAAAAAAAAAAAAAAGAGCTTTAAAAGTATTATGTAGTCTATAGGCTAACATTTTGTCACACCAGGGGCGTAGCCATCATTTCAGAAGTGACAGAAATGCCTAATACAATAATTTTAGGTATGTATGTATGTATTATTATTATATATATATATATTTTTTTTGGTCAAACAATATATTACTTTTTAAATATTTTACTAAAAATTGAGATAAAAATTACAAAATATATACATAATGAAAATGAATGGGGACTGGAGCAAAATACTGGGTGATTTGTTTTTTAATTCATTTATATTAAAAAAATAAAATTTTCAGTGTTTCCTACCTTTCATCTGAGGAATATAGAAGTCAATTTTTTTCAAATATTATTTTCATAAAATAATATATAAAAATATTTTAATTAAAAGCCTGATTACATTTTAATATAAAGTCTGATTACATTGCAATATAAAATAATGCAATTAAATAGCTGCAGAATGACTCATGAGTATACCGTCTAACTATTTGTGAGGAATAGATTTTGTGAGCAATTTAAGCTATTATTCTATGAAATATTTGGTCATTTTGATAGCTCCAGTCCCCATTCACCTTCAAAATATGCATAAGAGCCTTTTTGGAGGCCAGTACATCATTCAAAATGCTTCTTTTTGTGTTCCATGAATAAATGATGACAGAATTTTCATTTTTGAGTGGCCTGTCCCTTTAAGATTTCAGATCCAGTACAGGCTCATTTCAATAGCAGCATTACCCTTTTCCTGACCATATTGATTTGTACCTTTTCAAGGGCTCTGGTGTTCCACAGAAGGATCTGTCTTGTTTCTCAGTGTCGGGAGTTTTCTTTATCTGTCCTCTCACTGGAAAAACCTTAACAAAGACCGAAAGAGAAATGCACATAAAGGAGGCCATTCTGATGGTGAGGTTATTACAGACAAAATCTTGATGACTTTTTGAAGAGCTTACGTGTGGATGTTCCTGAAGGTTCTTCTTTCCTCACAGAGGTTCTCAGAGGATGCGATAGAGGCCTCCATTATGATGATTCACACCTTTAATAAAGACAAAGAGAAAGTAAAGGCTGCCATTGATGTCATTAGCAAGTGAGGACTATTTGAACCTTGCGCAACAATATCTGAGTGTTTGTATAATGTTTAACTGAAACCTGTAATGCGTGGACAGGTACGTCGAAAACATCTGTAAGAATCCGACTGAGGAAAAGTACAGGAAGATCAAACTTGGCAATAAAGTGTTTCAGGTATGAGCATTTTCACTGCCAGGATCGAGAAAAATGTCAATTCAAACAGCAAATGCACTTATGTTTTGTCCTTTTATTTATGAAGGACAAAGTCAGTGGGATTGAAGGATCTCGGGAGTATCTTCAGGCCTTGGGATTTGAAAGCACCACGCTGCCAGTAGATGGCGAAGGTAATGTGCAAATAGTGTTATATTTAAGGGTAAAGTGTGCAATATCTTTGACGTCAAGTCCTCACATGCTCTCCGTCTGAATAATGTCTCTCAGACAGGACTGAGGAGTTCCTGGTGCTGCCGGTGCAGGAATCGGAGGCTCTGGAGCAGATGAAGGTTCATTTGGAGCGGCTGCAGAAGGGCGAGCCGGTCAGAGCCAAGCTGGACCGTCAGATGCAGGTCTTCAGACCCTCACAGCATGCCACACACTTCCAGCTTCCCCCAGACTTCTACAATCTGACCGCGGAGGAACTGAAAAGAGAACAGCAACTGAAGTAAAGAAATGAACAACAGTGGCGTTTGAGCTGTTTAAGCTAATAAAAGCCTTACCGTATTTTTATGATCTTCCTTCATCGCAGGAGTGAAATCGTGGAGAGAAACACGATGCTGCGAACCAAAGCCATGCGTGAAAAAGATGAGCAGAGGGAGAGAAGAAAGTACAACTACGTGCTTCTGAGAGTGCGGTTACCGGATGAAAATATACTACAGGGTGGGTAGTTTTGAATTGTTATTAATATTAATTAGGAATATGTGTGCGTGTATATATATATATATATATATATACGAAATGCAAATCAATTTCTAATCTTTATATAATGTGTTTTTTCTGGATTTTTTTTGGTCGGTATTCTGTCTCCATCCGTTAAAATAAACCTACCATAAAAATTACAGACCCTTCATTTCTTTGTAAGTGGGCAAACTTACAAAATCAGCATGCTGCGAACCAAAGCCATGCGTGAAAAAGATGAGCAGAGGGAGAGAAGAAAGTACAACTACGTGCTTCTGAGAGTGCGGTTACCGGATGAAAATATACTACAGGGTGGGTAGTTTTGAATTGTTATTAATATTAATTAGGAATATGTGTGCGTGTATATATATATATATATATATATATATACACACACACACATAAAACTAGTGTAACAAAAAGTGTAAATAGTGAAAAATAATGTACAAAAAGTAATAAAATTGAATTAAAAATTAAATCTATTTTATTCCATTGTTAGGCATTTTCCACGTAATATTTAACACATTGATACAATATCTTTATTAATGGAAAAATAAATATGTATTTAACATTCTGTATTGTAATATAGTTGTAAACGGCAAAGCAAAAATAGTGTAAAAAGTAAATAAAATAAAAAAAATAATATAAAACATTATAAAATTAGATTAAACAATTAATGTATTCCATTAGCAGCCATAGTTTAACCAAATATTTTCACTATACTGTTTAACATATTTATATATAGTAAATAAAAAAAAATTATATAAAATTGAAAAGTATTCTTTTGGCAGCCAGAACCAAATATTTTCCCTATAATATTTAACACACATGTATACCTTTTATAAATGAAAAATATACATTTAATATTATATATTGTAATAAAGTGTTAAACAGTAGTTTAAAAATTGTAAAAGAAAATTGAAAATGTTTAAAAAATACTTTTGTTAAACTAAAATAAAAACAAATTGAAAATGAGATTAATCTCTATTTTATTTACAGCTATATTTTAACCAAATAGTTTCCCTATTTATTAAAAATTCATATTTACCATTTTATATTGTAATATTTTTTGTATATATATATATATTTTTTTCTAGATTTTTAGGTAAGGGGTCTTTCAGAGGGCTTTGGCATAAAATGTTTGAATGAAACCCCATGATGTTGACAAACAGCTCAAATAGCCTTTTTTATCAAATGTGAGTTGCACATTGATGCTTTTAAACCTTCCAGAATGCTTTGCCCCATAGATGTGTGTTGTCTTCTTTTGGCAAACTTGTTCTTCAGCATAAATTCAATTTGAAATGCTCTGCAGGCACTTTCCTGGCGTGGGAGAGGGTAGCAGCGTTGTACCAGTTTGTGCGCGATTCTCTAGAGAACGGCTGGCAACCCTTTGAGCTGATGGCACCCGGAGGACAAAAACTGAAGGATGATGAGGAATTGGCTCTGAATGAGTGCAACCTGGTAGCTCAAGTTCAAGTTCAAACATCTACAATTTTAATTCATTAAAAAATGACTAATACTTGAATCATACCTTTGTTTTCACCTTCCAGGCCCCAGCAGCTCTGCTGACCTTCTCATGGGACGCCGCAGTGCAGGCAGACATCGCGGCAGCCGGAGGAAAGAATGCTATTCTGCTTAAAGCAGCACTGTTAGAGAACATCAAGACCCTGAGCTGAACATTTAGTCTTGCTGTGTCTCCCCGGTCACTGCTGTCCCTGCCTGCGCTCTCTCGCCGCTCCTAGTCCACCACCACAATCCCACACGGTTTCACAGGATGAGCCCGATACATCGAGTGTGTCCACGGCATGTGCTAGGTAGATTTATATGGTGCTAAACGGTTTTCCTGTCAGTGATGTTATGTGGAGTGTTAGCACCATATGGGCCAATTTCCAAACAATCTGTTCTGTTCTAATGCATTGTTGCTTGAGGTATCATGACCAGTCATTATATGATGATGGAAGATGCTCAGTTCGGTTGGAAATGGTCTTTAAGAGGATCTCTTGTCATTTAAAGCACTTTTTAGCTACTGCCGAGAGAGAAATGTCGATGTACCATAAAATCTCATTGTGACAACAGAAGCACTGTTTGAAATGTATCTAACGTGAGCTCTACCAAGTTCTGATTGTCTTTTGTTTTATTTCCTGCTTAACATAAATGAAACTACGCATGAATGTTATAACGCAACTTAAATTAGACTAAAAGCTCTGGTCTCCAACAACAATCTACCTCCCAATGCAGATAAATGTCCACTCATTTCATTTAAAATGTCAGCTAATTGAATACACCCAATGCACGTGACAAATTTCATCCAGTTTTTTTTTTTTTTGCACTAGTTGTCCACAAGATTGCAACACTGGCCCAGCTGTGAATGTGCAAGATTTCCACTTCATTAGCCACTAGATCTAAACTAGAAGAATATCAATAGAGTAATAAAGTGCAGTAAACTGTAAAACTGTTGGCGCTACAAACAAGTGTTTATGGTTATAATGAATTAAAATGATAAATATCAGTTTGCAATATTTAGCAGCATAACAGCTAAGGTAACTGGAAGTGATAAACACCGGAAGCCTTGCATTTACAAATGGTTATGTTAAAAATGACTTCTGGAGAGAAACAGCACAGACACTAGACGATAAATATATTAACCAATAAATTAATATATTTTGAAAGGCTATGTGATGGCATCAAAGCTCCACCTGATTTTTAAACACAAAAGTAAACCATTTACCATCAACATGCAAGAATTTTGCTTCATTAGAAGCTAGTTAAATTATAACTAGCGGTAAAATGGTAAATGATTGCGTTACAAACAAGTGTTTATAAATATGAAAAATATAACAAATACCAGTTTGCAATATTATGGAGTACAATGGACCGTTTTTGTAAAATGGCTGACTCCGGAAATCTTGCACAATCAGGTTAAAAATGCACCTGCTTTTGTGAATACTTTGGGTATTAGACTGATTCCGTTGCAGAAGAATATTGTCACAAACTTGTTCCTTTATTAAACCATGCTATATTATAAATGAACAGTGCTTGTATTTTAACATATTTTGTCAAGTTCAAAATGTTGTGTTCTGTTGCATTTGATGTGATGTATGAAATAAAATGCATTGTCGAATGTGATGCGTGTATGTGAAAAACCAAATGTCTCTGAGAAAGTAACTCTTGTACATGTGATCACATGGAAGGAAAATGTTTAACAGCATATTAAAAATTGTTCATTTTTAAATAATGCTTTATTTAAACAAGCTTTGTAGGAAACCCATTGTAGCAAACTACGGCGCAGTTTATTCGAGACAATTAAGAAAACACTTCACCAAAAGAAATGCCAATGCTGCTGTTTTTTCCCGTTAGATGGCCACATACTATTTCAGCTTCTACGCCATTGTTCAAAAAAAACAAAAATAGTATTTACACCACATAAGGCAGCCTGGTCAACAAATGGCATATGCTGTTTTTATACAAAGCCTCTTGGAACAAGGGAAAGACTTCTGGTGGGCTAAAGAAGTTAAGATGGGGGTAGAAGAAAAAGAAACGCAAATGGAATATAAAAGTGCAATATATTTCAATTGTCATTATTTTTGAAAGACATACACCATTTCAAGTATTCTGAGCGAAAAAAAAATTAAAGGATTTAAAACAATGGTGCGGAGCACTGAGCCCAGCAGTGTCAGAGCTGATGAATGTACCAGCAGAGTCTTTACACGCTTTCAAAAAGTGGGACCTCTCCTATGAAGAAGAGCAGTAGACCATCTAGCACATCTCCACTTAAAGAAGAGGAAACAAATGATTCATTCCAGGGACCTTTAATACGGTATGATCCTTTGAACTGTAGATCAGATTTTGAGTGTCTGGTTCACATGCATGCAAACCCAACAAGAAGGGGTCAGATCTCAGGTGGTGGCTGGGGTAAGGCAGGGTAGGGCAAGAGCAGCAGTTTTGGATGCATTCGTGTCCATGGGCTCCGTGTTTCTCTTGGTTCGTCGCAAGGATGTGTTGGCATCCTGTTCAGAGAATCCTATGAAGAAAAAACACATTTATCAAGCTAATTCTGGCAGATTTGTTTGTTGTCAAGCTTTATTAGCAACATACACAAACCAGATTGTTCCCCAATGATGATGCAATCATCGTCTTCATCATCTTCAGTGTCTGCTTGGAAGCCATCGGTCTCCATGGTCTCAGTCTAAATACATTGTGTAATAAACAGCAAAGTTAGCAGAAGACAAATGGGTAGTAAGCAAAAAAAAAAAAAAAAACTGCTGGCGCTTTTCCTCTTGTTGGATGGTGTGGTGGAACTGGACGTGGTGGGCGAGTTGCCCTGTGAGCCGGCGTGCTCGTCACGGGTAATCTGAGCGCCGGAGGTGAGGTAGGTCCACTGGCAGGGAACGGACAAGGCCTCCTGAGAATGACGGGCCAGAACTTCCGGATGCACGTACCAGCAGCATCGTCTGTAAGTGGAGCGCTTTTCGTACACGGCGTGCTCCTTTATGATACGCCTGATTTGGATCCTTTTGCCAAATAATAAGACAATATGCTTAGAAATGTGTTTTGTGTAGCTTCATAATTCTGACATGCTGCCAAAAACACTCCCCAGAGTGCAACTGGAAGTCAATGACAACATGTTTTCCAGGTATTAGGCAAATGAGTCATTCAATTTACTAAGAAATATACACCAAAATAACCACAAATTCCATCTTCTTGAATGTCCCAATGTTTTTTTTTTTTAAATGGGGTTCTGGTAAATGCCTGAAATAAGGGTTTGTTTTTAACAAAAGCTCACGATATTTTCATGTTTTACTCTATGACATAAAAAGCCTCAGTAATATTCTGTAGCTTGTATATGCCTTTAAACAGGCTGTTGCAACAAGTGGCTAAGGGGGAGTACAGATGTTATCAGGGACATTAAAGGTCATCACAAAACAGGAAAACTCATCAGTCTACTTTTACAGCCTCATTGTTTATAATAAAGCTCTTGCAAACTACTCAAACTTTCCAATTTGTCCCATCACTAGCTTTTGTTTTTAATTTATTTCTGATTGCATTTATGCTTCAAAATTAATAAAAGTTGTGTTAATTTGTGAAGATAAAAAAATAAATAAATAATAAAAAAAAAAAATAGTACGAATTTTAAACTTGTGTTGGTCACAGCGCTTATTTTCTGCAGTAATCCAAAAGCCAATGGCAAAATCTTGTTTTGTCAAGGGAACTGGGTTGATGCTAACTTTCAGCATGACACTGTAAGCTGGTTTACCTGGGTGGGACATTGTCATTACAATTCTGAGGACTTTCTGTGGGCGAGGATGTTTGCTGGCGACAGAACTCCAGGAACTCGTTGATTATGACTTTACTGCTGTTCACATTCCCATGCAGCAAGGGCAGCAGCTGTGACAGCACTGAAGAGACGTGAGAAACACATTAACATCTCAGCAATACATGTGAGAGGGTTTTACAATGCAACTGTATTAAAGGCATGTAATGAAGGCAATTTACTTTTGTTCAGGAATGCAAACAAAGTGGATAATGAAAATATTCATGTTTTGCCCATTTTTGGGTGTGAATTTTCGAGAAGGGTCTGGCTGCAGACATGCACTTGCACTCTCAGACACCTGCACTTCTGCAAGTGACGTCACTTGCAATATTTTTTTATTTACTTTTTTAATTCAATCTCATCATTTTACGAAAATAGCCAGGTGGTGAAGACAAGAAAAAAAGAAAAGAAAATTACAATGTAACGTGTAATCGCCACCTGCGACGTCACTTGCAATCAACACAAATCATGTGTGTTGCCAATGGAGACAAGACACTGTGGAGGTTAAACAATTAAAACGAATTTAGTACCAAAACGTACAGGGTCCTGCAGGTCACCTGTAGGAGAAAAAGACAAGACCCACTAATCCGCGACTACAGAACAGCAGAATATTATTATTATATAGCATATTATTATTTAATATTATTTAATTTATATAGTACTTTGTGTATTGCTGTACACCCAAAGTGCTTTACAATCATGTTGGGGGTCTCTCCTCAACCACCACCAGTGTTCAGCATCCACCTGGATATAACCGTATATACCGTTGTCCTGCAGCCACAGGACAACGGTGCCAGTGCGCTCACCACACACCAGCTACAGGTGGATAGGAGAGAGTCATAGTGCCAATCAAGTGGATGGGGATTATTAGGAGGCCATGATAGACAAGGGCCAGTGCCAGCAATTTGGCCAGGACACCGGGGTTACACCTCTACTCTTCACGAGGTGTGCCATGCGATTTTTAATAACCACAGAGAGTCAGGACCTCGGTTTAACGTCTCATCCGAAGGACGGTGCTTTTTACAGTACAGTGTCCCCGTCACTATACTGGGGCGCTAGGACCCACACAGACCACAGGGTGAGCACCCCCTGCTGGCCTCACTAACACCTCTTCCAACAGCAACCTAGTTTTCCCAGGTCTCCAATCCAGGTACTGACCAGGCTCAACCCTGCATAGCGTCAGTGGGCAACCAGTTTTGGGCTGCAGGGTGATATGGCTGTGGAACACAATGCGCAGTCTCTCGTTAAGCGTTTTCCTCCCGTAGAAAACCATAAACACTTAATATGGCTTAACACTAGAACCCGTGGCTGTTTTTAAAACGTACATAAAAGATTTTTAATAAAACATTCAAGTCTTCCAGTCACTGACTTTTACTAAAAGTGTGTGATTTACAACCCCCTGTTGTTAAAAACTGTTTAGATAAAACCAGATTAAAAAATGGGGCATTTATACCTATAAGCGCCAGCGCGGGTCAAATTTACCCGCTATATAATGCCTGTATGTTCGCGCTGTCATTTTTGTGCCGCTTATGTTTTAACGTAGTACATTGCTAGGCAACGCCTTTCACTCACTGAATTAGCGGTTATCAGTTTCATAAATATAGACAAAATGAGTAAAAGAAGGCGATTTATGAATGTTGAAGAGGTATAAGAAGCACTAAATGCCATGAGCAATAGAGAGTCTGACGGTGGGGAGATAAGTAAAGCGTCCTGTCGGCTCAGCATCTGACGGCGATCAATCTATCATATTTAGACGTTTTATCCTAATGTTACTCACAATTGTTCAAAATTGTGATTAATTATTTAATTTTTGTTTAGCCATTTCTACCGTTTATTGTTCACTTCTGTGTTGCTATTTATTCTAGTCTGCCAGTTTCCTGAAGAAAAGAAATCCGATCTGATGTAGGCTAATGAAAAAAACTTTCTTTTTTTTTTGATTACCCGAAGTTTATTGGTGTTCTTCTTGCATAATTCAAATTATAAATGATATAACTAAACAAATTAATAATTAATTAGGTAAAGCTGTGCGCTTGAATTTGTCATTGCATCATCCTATGCAATGTGGTGAATTATTATTGCTCATTATTGTCTATAGGCTATTTTAGTCATTTAAATAACATAGGTTATCTTAATATATTGATTAATGACATTGTATTTACTTCCTTCTAATTCTCATTGTGAGTGCAGGCTTGTTTAGCTTAATATTGACCGTTATGAAAAGTGACTAGTGTAGCCTGCATAAAAAAGCCTTGAACATAAAACAACAGGACAAAAATATATTTGATGACTAGACAATCATTTCATGACTCTAGACACTTTTTTGTGAAGACAGTAGCATAATACGGTGAAATAATATTTTCTTTAGCCATACAAAAACAGCTGTCATGGGCATGGGTAAAATTTACCCGCTGGCGCTTTTAGGTATACAGCGACCCCTAGCGGTTCTAGTGTTAATGTATTAAGATCAAATTTTATATGCAGTTTATTAATATAACGTATGCATATGTACAGTCATGTGAAAAAGTTAGGACACCCTATTGAATTCCATGGTTTTCTGTATCAGGACATAGTAAATTATCTGGTCCTTGGCAGGTCTTAAAATTCAGAAAATAAAACCTCAGATGAACAACATCATATGACATATCACATCATATGTTTTATTTATTTTTAACAAAAATACATGTATTTTAACATAAATAAAGCAAAGATGGAAAAACCATGTGTGACAAAGTTAGGACATCCTATGATTTAACTGCCTGTAGATCCACTTTTAGCAGCAATAACTTGAAGTAATCATTTTCTGTATGACTTTATCAGTCTCTCACATCGTTCTGGAAGAATTTTGGCCCACTCTTCTTTACAACGTTGCTCCAGTTTATTGAGGTTTGTGGGCATTTGTTTATACACATATCACCACATGATTTCAGTCAGGATGAGGTCTGGACTATGACTGGGCAATTGCAGCACCTTGATTCTTTTCTTTTCAGCCGTTCTGTTGTAGATTTGCTGGTGTGTTTGGGATTATTGTCCTGTTGCACGACCCAATTTTGGCCCAACTTTAGCTGTTGGATGGATGGCCTCAAATTTGACTCTAGAATACTTTGGTATACAGAGGAGTTCATGGTCGATTCAATGACTGTGAGGTGCCCAGTACCTGTGTCTAGAAGACAAACCCAAAATCACCAGCATGTGACTTTTGGTATGAGGTGTTTGTGCTGATATGCTCTTTAGGTTTTCACCAAACATGGCACTGTGCATTATGGCCAAACATCTCCCCTTTGGTCTCATCTGTACAAAGGACATTGTTCTAGAAGTCTTATGGTTTGTTCAGATGCAACTTTGCAAACCTAAACCATGCCGTCATGTTTTTTAGAGTAGAGGATTTTTTCTGCCAAGCCTTCCAAATATGCCATGCTTGTCCCATATTTTTCTAATTGAACCGTCATGAACTTTATCATTTAACATGTTAACTGAGGCCTGTAGAGTCTGCGGTGAAGTTCTTGGGCTGTCTGCCATTTCTCTGAGCGTTACACGGTCAGTTCTTGGGGTGAATTTCCAGGGACGTCCACTTCTGGAAGGATTGGTGTCCGTTTTGAATGTCTTCCACTTGTGAATAAACTTCCTCATTGTGGAATAACGAACTTCAAATTGTTTGGAAATGGCCGTATTATCCTTCCCAGATTGATGGCAGCAACAATTGCTTCTGTAAGATCATTGCTGATGTCTTTCCTCTTTAGCATTGTTAACACACACCTGAAGGCTCCAGACCAGCAAACTGCCAAAACTTCTGCTTTTATAGAGCTGCTCACACTTGCTGATGATCAGTTAATCAAAGGTATTTGATTAGCAGTGCCTGACTGTTACTTACCCTCTTAATTCCAATGTTAACAGTAAGGGTGTCCTAACACACATGGCTTTTCCATCTTGTCTTTATTTTTGTTAAATAAACAATGACACGGTGCAATATGTCATGTGTTGCTGTTCATCTGAGGTTTTATTTTCCTAAATTTAAGACCTGCCAATGACCAGTTATTTTTTTATGATGCCCTGATACAGAAAACCATGGAATTCAATAGGGTGTCCTAACTTTTTCACATGACTGTATATGGTGTTTTCTCCCATACCGCAAAACACGGCATAATGACTACGATGATAAAGACCAAACTCAATATACTCCTCTTCATTATTAAATCATAACTAATATGTACAGGCAAGCAGGTGAGCCCAGAATAAACAACACGCATAGTTTCGCGTTAAGCATTTTCAGGGCTCTACAGTGCGACCATTTCAGTTGCATTTGCGACTGAAAACTACTGTGTGCGACTATGACATTTTTTTTTTAGGAGCACCAGTGCGACTGACCCGATCATCATCATACTTGTGATTGCGCTCAGGGGAGCTTCAAAGGTTTTTACGTGTTTTTGCAGCATTGCGTAATGTATCACAGACGTATCTCACGAATCCTTTCATAAGCAAAGTGTAGACAGGGTGTAAATAAGAGATTCATTGCGCAGTGTAGAGAGCTTCGTTGATTATAAATGTGAGATCGAGATGAACTAAGATGAGTGACAGCTTTTAATGATTTTTAAGGGAGTTTGTAAATGTGATACTGATTTAATACAATACAATTCAATAGG